AAAACATGAATCACTCTTTAAAATATTTATTCTTAACAAAGTATTCCAACATAAAATCAATAAAAGAATAATAACATTAATGCATTAATAATAAACGGCATCATAAGCGTGTCTTCCGCTGTTTGTCACTTTATCATAAAACATCAAAAAGCTGGCAAGATTTTCCCTATCTACGTTAGATAAAAAGTCACTCATTGATTCATCAACAGGAACACCTCCTTCAAGTGAACTGCTTTTAGTAGCAACAGGATCTTCGTCAACTTTCACGCGGGTACCGCGGCAAAGCAATGTATGACATACTTTTGACTTGCTTTGTTAATTTATTACATTTAGCGTTTTCATTATAAAGTCTTGAGTCGAGAGCAGATGTAGATTGCGTCATATATGGTCTTCGTTTCCAGTTTTGTGAATTAACATTTCTATTTTTATAATGAAATTCCAAATCCTGAGTTGAATTTCGTCCATAATCATTTGATTCTTTTATATTTTTATTGACGTCATTTTCGGAGCTGCTTCTAATGATTTTTCTTGATGTTTCAACATCTATATTCTCTTGATCAGATTTGGTTGACTTGTTAAAGTTTTTCTTTATTGACAGCATACTTCTACTACTTTTGTTTGTTTCTTGTTGAAACAATTTTCTTAGTGGTATAGATTCAGATCCTTGTTTTGGAGTTGAAGTATTTGGTCTATAAATAGCATGTTCAATGTTTGACCTCAAATTGTAAGCGTTCTGTTCTATAAAATACTCGCTAGACGACTCCAGTGAAGATGACAGGTACCCGGATGTGCTGGTATCGCTATCTAACTGACCAATCAGATTTGTCTTCACAGATGATTCTGGAGCAGAACATTTATTTTCCTTACCAACTATACAAAACAATCTCCCATTGGCTGATCGGTCTGTACTCAATCTACGCCCTGTCTGAAAATAAGAATTAATACAGGTTATCACTTGTTTTAAAATAAAGTCAAGTTAACAAGTTTATTTACAAGTATACAAGTCTATTTAAAATTATTTATTAAAGAATTAAAGAAGAATTAAAACAGACTATAACTCGTTTTAACCTAAAGTCAAATAAAGTGTTTAAATTATTTATTTATTCTTTATAATACAGTTACATTTAAATTACAGGATGTAAAGCCAATTTAAAGTGGATTGAAAAAGAAAAGCTTTATTTGATATTTCACATTTCAAGTCACGACTTATTCGATGTTTCACTGTTACATTATTGTGACACTGTATAGTACAGTTACGTATATTGTTAAATGAATATAAATGTTATATTTACCTTAACTTTCGAAAATGAAGCCATTGTTCATACACATAAAACGTTAGTCAATATTTTGTTTTAATTATATCTTTGTGACGATGATGAAAATAATTAGTGTTTTGCTAAGAACAATCTATTTTATATTTAATGGATCTACGCTTAGCGTGTCTTGATTTACTCATTTTTCACACCTTTTAACCTGTACAACAGTAAGGTCACACGCGGCTTGTATCATTATCAATGACATTAACAAACAAACAAGTAAATAATAGCGCGCTTGATTTTACCAGCAAATAAAAGGTGTGACAAAAATTCTAAGAAATTTAGTTATTACATTTACGTATTTTACCGAAATAATAAATATATCATAAATTATTTATATCTATCTCACTAGTTTCTTAATAACGTTATGTGATTATGTTGTATATGTCTAGATTATAGTTTTATAAAGATTTTAAAGAACCTAATTTTCGAGCGTGAGTTACAGCACTGCAAGGTAAATATTTCGGCAAATTTTAAACAAAATAGAGCGATTTCATTGGCAGACAAACAGTACATGTATTCATTGCATTTTAACAAGACGATGGACATTTGTTTAAGTCTAGATAATAGTTCTAATCTGTTCCTAATTTCGTTATCAATAAATAAAACCTTCAGAATTTTTAAATTTCAATTTCACAGAAAACATTTTGTAGTTAAGTCAGCTTGATTTATTGTGACTAACATTTTTACATTGTTTAATTTCATTCGTTATATTAAATTGCGCGGGATAATGTGTATAAATCAATGAATATTATGATTTATCTATTACAAATCTAGTGAATACTGACACAGTTTTTGTATATCTATCACGTGTCTTAGTATTTCGCTGTTGTATGTGTGTAAGTGTTTCCTTTTGGTATATATCAAATTGTTAAGCAATTGTAAATGTTCAATTGTTTCATTCTTGTATATGCCTAAGCGCTTCACTCTTGTATATGTCTAAGTGCTTCACTCTTGTATATGTCTAAGCGCTTCACTCTTGTATATGTCTAAGCGCTTCACTCTTGTATATGTCTAAGTGCTTCACTCTTCTATGTGTCTTAAAGCTTCACTCTTGTATATGTCTAAGCACTTCACTTCTGTATGTGTCTAAGCACTTCACTCTTGTATATGTCTAAGCGCTTCATTATTGTATATGTCTAAGCGCTTCACTCTTGTATATGTCCAAGCGCTTCACTTTTGTATATGTCAAAGCGCTTCACTCTTGTATATGTCTAAGCGCTTCACTCTTGTATATGTCTAAACGCTTCTCTCTTGTATATGTCTAAGCGCTTCACTCTTGTTTATGTCTAAGCGCTTCACTCTTGTATATGTCTAAGCGCTTCTCTCTTGTATATGTCTAAGCGCTTCACTCTTGTTTATGCCTAAGCGCTTCACTCTTGTATATGTCTAAGCGCTTCACTCTTGTATATGTCTAAGCGCTTCACTCTTGTATATGTCTAAGCGCTTCACTCTTGTATATGTCTAAGCGTTTCAATCTTGTATATGTCTAAGCAATTCACTCTTGTTTATGCCTAAGCGCTTCACTTTTGTATATGTCTAAGCGCTTCACTCTTGCATATTGTTCATGTCTGTTCCCTTGTGGGAAACTAAACGCTGTCATGTCTCAACATTATGCAAACAAAAACATAAAACATATCTATAAGCACATTTTGCAACACAGACACTATCTAATAGAATTAACTAAGCAAACAAACTGCTTGCATTTACTTACTATTTTTTGTTTTGTTTAATGTAACAGTTTAGTTTCTTAGCTTATGTTAGTCATAAATACCGTATCCGTTCTTCCTTACCCGAGGTTTAATGGAATGGGTCGAGGGGATGCGATGACTTCTAGATGCTATGATCGGCACATATTTGACTATTTTGGTTCATATGCATCTTATGAAGATAAAAATCGACACTAAGAACAAATTCTTGACTATTTTATGCTGAAACATCTTATTTTGTAAAGAATTATGCCAAGAGGGAAGTCTGCAGCTGTATTCTGAACTTTGTTCTGTAAATGTCACCAGATAGCAATTATTTTACCAAAGAAGCCATGTGGCTTTCTTAACGTATTGTTCTTTTACGACATTCATGTCGCAATGCGGTAATCATGTCGTAACATAAATTATTATGACATCTGAAATAATTCCTGTGTAAACTACTTACCAACATTCATAGTTATAGTTCTCTGTAGTGTAGAATAGAGTTACCTTCTAACAAAGGGTATGTACAGGTGGTGAAGTGGTAAAGGTACCGGACTCTCAGTTGAGGGATCGTAAAATCGACCCCTCCTAGGGTAACAGCCATGTTACCTCACAATGCAATTATGACACCGGTTAATTTCAGAGAGTGGTACCAAGACTGGTTCAAATAAGTTTTAAACTTTTGGAATTTGAACAGTTTCATTTTTGGTCAATTTTACGGATCTATGGGTTGTAAAAGTTGTTGGTCGGAAACCGTTTTGACATACAACGGCAATGTGACCTTGACCTTTAATTCCTTGACCCTAAAAACAATAGGGGTAAGATAAGTTCAACACAAATGGACCTATAAAGTTTGAGACCCGGGGTCCATGGGTTGTCAAGTTACTGGTTGGAAACCAAGGTCACTTTAACCTTGACATTTGATTCCTTGACACAAAACCAACGTGGTAATCTACAGTCCAACTTATTGGACCTCAGGGGCAAGATTTATATCTGTTTTGTAGAGGTCAACAAGGCAATGCTACATGACAAATATTTAAACTGTACTAGACATTTAGTTACACAAAATATGACTGAAATGCGTTTTCTCATACAAGACTATATGTATATTAACTAAGTGACAACAAGGGCCAGGGCAAATATTGACCCATGGGGCATAATTTATTTCAATTTTGTAGATGTCAGCAAGGCAAAGCTACATATCAAATGTCTATGCTCTAGGCATTGTAGTTTCACAAACTAAGACTTTAATGTGTTTTCCTATGCAAAACTACTTTAACTAATATGGTGGGGCCAATATTTACCCAAGGGGCATGATTAATGCCAGTTGTTGTGGTCCACAAAGTGATATTAAATGCCAAATATCTTAGCTCTGGGCATTGTAGTTTTCATGCAGCAAGTCTCAGATGTGTTTAACCTATATAAATCAAGTGACCCCTTGGGCAGGGCCAATATCCAGGAGCATGATTCATAACAATTTTGTAAAGGTCAATATGGCAATGCTACATGCTAAATATCTAAGCTCTATACATTGTATTCCACACAATGAAACTTAATAAGTTTTTTCCTTTGCAAGTCGAAGTCTACATGTAGATAAATCAAGTAACCCCCGGAACGAGGCCAATTTTGATCTCAGGAAGCACATTGTCTAATTATAAGTAATATTATGTATATGTCTTAATGTGTTACCTTCGGTAAATAAAGTTATTATTATTATTATTATTATGTATGTCGAAAATGTATCTTGAAATGGTCCTCCAACAGCATACCAAGTATCATTAACTTGTCGAGAGTTAGGACTGGATTCAGATTTCTTCGGATGGAATGACGGACGAAGGGCATAATTGCTCTCCACTGATACCAATACAGGATTAACCAATTGGTCATACTTACAAAGTGTAGTTAACTGAAGCATGAATAAGGTAACAGTATTGGACATTAAAACTGTTGAAACATCTACGGAACTTGGAGAAAATAAACAGGAAGAAGTGTATTCACTCTGTCATCATTTATTCAAATATGTTACAACCATGGTCAAAGATTTGTATTTGTTGAGCTTAGATGATAATGAGTACTGACTAAAATGTTGAAGAACATAAAAACAAGGATTTCATACAGCAATGTGACTCCTTCATAGACCCACTCGACAGAAAAACACAAGAACATAGTTATGTGTATACACATGTAATGGCATAACTCGCACCTCCTATACATGATCATGTTTCCACAATACTAAATGCTCTATATAAATTAATTTTCAATAAAAACAATTAGCATAACTCTTTAACCCTGCTGAATTTTTGTGTAATGGATAAGCCCTCCTTTGAATCAAGAAAAATCTGTTTTAATTCTAAGGGATTTCAATATGAAATACTATCAATAGAGAACCAGGTCAGGGTGCACGAATGTTCACGCTGGCTTGACTCTTTATTGAAGGCAAAGGCTAATCACTTTGGGTCCCAGCAGTGTAAGAGTAATTATTAAACTACATTGTAGTTGATCAAAAATATAAAATAAAAAAAATTAACTGTCCTACACATTATTGTGTAAAAGTTTTGAAAAAAAAAGATGCATATAAAACTAATATAGTGTTAATGTGAGGTGTTTGACGTAGTTAAAAGCTGTTGAGACTGAAATGATGTTTTCTTTTCTTGAAATTAAAAAGATGATAGTAGTTCCAACACAAAAGGACTATCAAGATAAAAGTTCATCTTGAGAAAATCCTTAAAAAAAATTGTAAAAAAAAGAGATAAGAATTGAAATGCAAAAAGCTTATTCAAGTTCGGTTTCAATTGTCTAATTTTTCACCAGTTGGTGTGCAAAGGCTTAATTTTCAAGTTTAATAATTGTCCAAATATTGTTATTTTCGTAAAACGCATTTTAAAATCCCTGATTTGAGGAAGAAAAAAACAAAACAACAAAATGTTGGTTAACTTTTTCCAAGCTTAAAAAAAACCGAGTTAAATGAACTGGAAGTCATTGCTGGAATGCATTAATCTGTTACACACACAACAATCAACAGGAACAAGTTGCTTCCAGCATTTTCTAACGACATATAAAACATATCTTTACATATTTTTTTTTGCAATATACATAAATATATACACAACACTATACATGTAAAAACACCAAATTACCATAGTAACCCCTGCCCCCAACCCCCCATCCCACCCCCTCAACATGTTAAAACAGTCAAGATTGGTGATGATTTATTTACATGTACATGTAATCAAATACAAAACATACACCATGTGTTGCAATGTGAAGTATAAAACCGGTTTTAGTTGTTAATTCAAATTCTAAAGAAACTTTTATACATATTTTGCACAAAAGGCAAATAAAAACTTCTTTATATTTTGAATTGTACTCAGAAAAAAAAGACACCTTTTTAATAGCTAATTTAACACTAAATGCTACAACAATATTGCATATCCTAGAGAAGAATTATTTCTTTAAGAACATTTAGTCATACTAGTTTATTATTTTCTAACCAATTTAGCTATTAACAGAACATAATAAAATGAGCCACATCACGACAAAACCAACATAATGCGTTTGCGACCAGCATGGATCCAGACCAGCCTGCACATCCGTACAGTGTGATCAGGATCCATGCTGTTCGCTTACAAACTCTATAACAAGAATCTGATAGCGAACAGCATGGATCCTGATCAGACTGCGCGGATGCAGAGGCTGGTCTGGATCCATGCTTAGTGCGAACGCATTATGTTGTTTCGGCGTGACGCGGCTCATTTTATTATGTTATTTATTACTTTATTGTCTCTTTTCACTTGAATTTAGACTTTCAATGAGCTGTTAATAACTAATATCTTTATGAACATAACTATTGGTATATCTATCAAAGAGGAATAACTGCCTAATATCTAAATTGTTTGTAACAATAGTACTACAAGGTAACTCAAAACTCAACAAAGATATTTTACATTTAAAAAAAAAATAATTAAATTTTTATTTATTTTTCAAACTTTTTTGATAAGTTTTATTTTTAGGTACAAAAATTGCAGAGACTTTATGTAAAAGAAAAAACCTTATCCACGGAAATTATGTCATTATTAACATGAACTATCATACAAGTTGAATTATGTTGTTTCTATTTTACCCTATGACAGAGAACATATATGACAATATTTCATGGCTTAAAAAATTGACAGAATGATACTACACCATTACATTAATCCTTCTACTGTACACATATTGTTATAACATATCAAACTGTTTCATTTAAACACCATAATAAAATATACAGCAGACGTTAACGACCAACACATCATTTTCACCAACAAACAGAACATACCTCTAATGCAAAAAAACAAAAATCCCAAATTTTAATTTATGTACAAAATCATCTTAAAAAACCTGCCATTCATCGAGACAGTCTTAATTCTGATATACAGTTAACATCAGTGAGCACACATTTCTGAAAGAACTACATTCCTTGTATACAGTTTTAGTTAGTAATTGCACGACCAAACAAGATATCAAATTAATTCCAATATCATCTTAGAAATATCAGTTTAATATTGAAAATTTTTAAGTTAATCTAACTTTAAAGTTAAATCAGTTTTATTCTATAAATCAGTTTTTTTTTTAGTATTTAAGGTGTAATTTTTGATAATATTTTGCTTCCCAACTATATCTTTTATTATCTTGTAAAACATTAATCTACTTCCACAATCCCCTCGATCATTCATTTACAGGTCCTCAGTTTTATTCCACCGTCCTCACATACACACATGCACACACACACGCTCACAATATAACATCATTTTTACATCATTCTATATAATTTATCAAAGACTATTTTTTTTTTCACAATGTATTATCTATTTACACATGAACATATTTGTGTGTCAAACGACACGCGCATAGAGCAAAATTCACGGAATTATCTAAGTGTCCTTCACTCAAAGTCTGTCACTTTTTTTGTCTTTCAAAGACAGCACAGAGGAATTTCTTAGTAGATTCTTTCCAAATCTACTCCCTACAGTTTCCAGGCTTCAATATCCAATACCCTTGTCCACATTTGAACAAATTATCATTAACCGCATTAATCATAAAAACAGTTTTTTCGAGTCAATAAATCATAATATTTTTTATTCCCTTTCACCAACAATGATCAAGTATGATCAGTTCATATTTAATTTTTATTTTGTTTACTGATGAAAGGTAATGGAAGTCTCTCAATGTTACGATGAAGATGGCGATGTTCCAGTGGAATCCACTGTCACGTAATGGAAATGATGATGGTAAGATAGATGACGATGTTGTTGTTGTTGTTTTCAGCGGAGACCTCAAACAATGTGATGTTAAGTTTTTTGATGTCGATTTTTATATTTTAATAATCCTGATCATAATCGCGATCACGTCTCATACGTTTTCTTTGCGGTTCTTCATTGTGCCTGGAATCCTGTAAATAAACAATAAAACCTTTCGTTAATAAAGTGCAAAACCGATTTTAAAAATCACATTTTCTATAAATGATAACGATTAATTTATCACAGATATAAACTTAAAATATAATGATAAAATTTTTACGCTTTTGAAAAAATTAACGATAATTTTTTGTAACACGAAAAATACATGTTTGGCACTAAATTCTCATTTTGGATTTAGGATAATTGGGGCAAATGGTAATACTTGCAGGCTTTTTTACATTATATATATTTCCATAGTTCATCTAAAGTGCATTCTGCAATACCTTTTAACAGAACAATATACTAGCACCTTGGAGATTATTGAAAGTATCTAAACTGCTTCTTTTAACAGCTTAAGTCTGACCCATTATATAAAAGATGAGATCATTCAACTTATTTACAATCCTGTAGATTCCATCTTAAAGATCATGGGAGTGAAAATAATTTCAAGCCCTGTTGCATGTCTTCAGTGCATATGAACTCACTTTTCTTTTTACCTTGACACTTTTCAAAAGTGGAGTCTAAATGGGCTTACTTATCAAAAAACAGACACTTTCCATATGAATTCAATTCATACATTGAGGCTAAAAATTTGGGCACTCTTTAATTTCAAAACATAGAAAGACAATACAGTACTTATTTTTAGGAGAAACCTAAAAACTCAACAAAACATATTTATCAGAAATGCGTTCTCATTTCTGTACAAAATGAACAGATTTGACCTTTCTTTTTATAAACATAGACTAGGTATGACATGTTTGCCACTGAAAAAAAGCCACTGTTGTTTGGTATATATGAGTATAATGTTTCTGATTACAAGCCTTATGATAAAAACAGCGTCTTGACTTAATAACTTGATGACATAATATATACCAGGGGACTAATACATCAATTTTTTCCAGTCTGGTTTGCAAAGATAGACTGCTTCAGTCCGTGGAATAAAAAAAAAAGCCTACATAAAAACAACAATTTATGTGTTTTCTTATTAAACATATGGTGACAAAATACAGTCGAGTCCTTTTTGCTAAGTTTCAAATATTTTTCAACCCAGAAGTTTTTCCTTCTGAATTCAAAAATAAATATGAAACAGCAAAAACATTCTATTTTTTTCTTAAATTTTCACAAAATATTCCCAACTATTGTGATCAGATGTGTGCATATATAAACAGTATTTAAAGAAGCCAATTAACAGGCAAAAGGACATTCTTAGTAAAATTCAAACTCCTAAATATAATTTTTTTTTTCACAGAAAAAAATATTGGAAAATATATATGTTATAAATCATTCATTTTTTTCTTTTGCATTTACAACAGCTGCTAGAGTTGTATAACAAATTAAGATGAGAATAGAAACAACACTAAGAGATCACACCTTAACCAGAAAGTATATACACAACATATAGCCATGCACACAATTGATTATAAACACCAAAAACATACCAAAGTGGACATATAGAAACACATTTTTTTTAATCTTAAAGTAAGAGTGTTTGTTCAAATGGTAAATAAAGGGTACAGTTAATATATTTAATGATGACCGTTAAAAAAAAGATTTTTAATCAAATAAATTTTTTAATTCCAAGTGCGAAATTTTTATAGTAACATAATTATATGAACATTTTTTTTCTTTTAAATTTTCAAATTAAGACCCTAATGCAAAGGGATCTTCAAAGTTTTTTTGTGTGTTTCCTGGCAATGAAATACCAAACAGAAAATTTTTGAAAGATGTTTTAGAAGTAATATGAGCCAATGCTTTTTCTCCAGCAAGCAAAATACATGTATCTAAATGGCAGTATTATATATGATGCATGCATGGTTTTGTTTCTACCCATATGTAACTAAGCTGTTTGAAATTTATAGATGTCATGACTTAATTTCTGCATAAATGATGCATATAAGGTCACTACAGGTAATAGTATTTTGAAATTAGAGTATTGTACACATAATTTTTTTTTCTGCATATATGATAATAACTAAGCTGGTTAGCATTACATAAATATGTTTTATATATTCTAGTATATTTTGTATATGTTTTACATAGATTAGCTCTATTTTGATATATAGACTACAAAACACTCAGGGGATGTTATATGAAGTTAAAGCAATTAATTACTATAAATATCAGAAATATACTCCCAAGATTCACACATTTTAAACGATATACAGGTGCTATAACTCTAAAACAATTGTACGTTAGGCGCCTGTTTCTGTACTTATCAAGTCATTTATCAGCCAGGGAAAAAAATGACATAAAAAAGTGCTAACATCCCCTGTACTTTTTTGTTGTTGTAATTTTGTCTAGGAAATAAACTATATGTTGACAAGAGGTAAGAATTTTACAGATGTACAGACTGATTAGAGGGCAGATTATTTATCCCCATTTTACAGTTTGTATGTTTTATACACAATGTAACTGAAGAATACATTCAATTCCTAAAAGACAGAAGAGAACATTTTCTGATCAGACTAATTTTGTCCCAATAGACCATGATATGTGAGATTTCTAGAAAATCAGACATTTTTTCTATTTCTCTCACTAAATTACAGCAACCACCTCGAGACAAAACTTCTACAGAAAGCATCTGTTTTTCTTCTCAATTGCTTACTTTTAGACAATGTACAATTTTCTAAATGGAAAACTTTTGAATATCAAGTAAAAAAAACAACAAAATATTGTGTTGTTCTCATATATTCTCCTATAAACGTAGACAATTTTTTTCAAGATGCTGATTTTTCTAAAAATCATCTGTATTTTCAAGATGTTTACAGCTTAACTCCTCAAATTACACCATGTTGTTTTATTTATGCATTCAGTAACTCTATGCTCTGATAATTGGAAGTTTATAATTGCTGGTGATTTACCATAAATTGAAATAATTAGCGTTACTTTAAGAAGCATTTATACCATATAAAACACTGCTTTTAAATCGCTTAAAAAAAAATTAGGTCCTTCTTCTATGATAAAATGTGTAACCCTTTCAATATAATATGAAGAATTGACCTGGTGTTTGGTAGCAGATTTATATGGCTATGGCAATTTTAAGCCTGACCTTCAGCCAAAATACTGTATAATATATTCACCATTTCTAACCAGATATCATCATAATGGATGAACACCTTATATAACTTAATAGGAGATAAACTGTTATTGCACTAAGATGAGAATATTGCTTCCAAATTGCTTCCAATCAGGATTAATGAAAATAGAATATAAAGGTCATCTATCTAGCACAATATGATAATGATAAAAGGTGAATGCAGGTATGTCATCAGTAACCGGGAAGTTAAATATAATAGGTTATCTAGTTTTAAGAATTTTTATGATTCCTTTATCACCATTGTCTTATATTACCATCTTTTAATCATGTCAGATACTTTGATATTTAAATCTCCATGTTTTTTTTTTTTTTTTGTTTTCTTCAAAAGCTTAATATAATCTTATGAAATACTACACAAAGGCCATGGTTATTGTTTTTTTTAATATACTTATTAAAAATAATTTCATAGTTTTTATATATCATTAAAAATAATTTCATAGTTTTTATATATCAGACATACAAAGAAGGATTATCTCAGTGTTTATATCACATATCAGACATAGCATGGTCAACCTCAGTGTTTAAAGCATATATCAGACATAGCATGGTCAACCTCCATGTTTAAAGCATATATCAGACATAGCTAGATTAACCTCAGTGTTTATAGCATATAACATACATAGCATGGTTAACCTCAGTGTTTATAGCATATATCAGACATAGCTAGATTAACCTCCGTGTTTATAGAATATATCAGACATAGCTAGATTAACCTCCGTGTTTATAGAATATATTAGAGATATGAAGAGTAATTTCAGGGTTTATAGCATATATCAGGCATAGAAAAGGAATTATCTCAGGTTTTTAGAGCAATCAAACAACTTTATATCTAAGATAGCATGACTCAGTTTGAGGCAAATATCAAACAAACTTTACGCTTAGACATATATCAGACATAAATATAATGAACTGAAGCTTTAAGAATACATCAGACAATTTCATGTTTAAGAGTGGTTTATATTAGACATGGACATCATTTTAGCAGTCTACACATAAATATATGCCAAACGTGTTATTACAATGTAGCACACGATTAAATTACACAAAGGTGTTTAACACGCGAGGGAACGATAACGTACTTCTGAAGGGTGCCCCGTGCCGTCTTGAGCTCTTTGTCATTGGTCTGTGGAGAAAAGGGAAAAAATAATGGTGCAAAACATAATTCACAATATACAACATATATAAGAAAATGTATAAAGCTACTAGAAGCAAAATAATACTGCTGAAAAGGAAAATATACATGTAAAAATTCCAATATAAAATACCTAACACAATATAAGAACTTATTAGTTTTCACATCTTTTTAATTTGAGAAATATGCCAGTTAACCCATTACTTCATGAGCATTTTGTGAAAAATGGCTGTTTTCATTGAAATGTCTACCGTTACAAGTTCAAATTGCTATAAAACTATAAAAACTGCTTCAATACTAATCAAACTTGGCACAAATGTTGACTGGACCATTGCCTTTGTAACAACATGCTCAGGCTTAAATTTCCTGTTACCATGGCAACGAGGGGACATCTCAAAATTGCCAAAAATCACTATTTTGCGTTGATTTTTTCCATCAAAATTGATTTCAAAGTGCTGCAACTTCTCAATGGATTGAGATAGTGTCAAATGCTTTTCAGCGTTGGTTACACGTTACCTTATGATCGATCTGGGGTCATATTTAGCCTCTCACAAGTCCAAAATTTTCTTGGTGATGAGGGGCACTGCCGCCCCCCTTCAAAAACCCCAAACAGAAGGGGGCACATCCCCCTTCTGGCAACCCCCTGATGTATCTTTTGGATGGGGGGTTGCGGCGAAAAAGTGGTCACTTTTTTAAACAACATTTCTCAAATGAAAAACAGTTTTTGGCGCCTAAATAGGGCCTTTTTTCACTATTAGAGGCCTAAAAGAGGGTGGGGGTGGGGGTGGTGGAGTGTGTGTCGAAAGTGCTTTGTTTCGCGTATATATGAGGTAAAGGGTTAAACAGTTAATCATCTTTTATCATATTTGTGACATGGTTAGTAATATGGACACTGTTGGTATAAAATTTTCTAATACAATCTCAACAACTAGAATGGGTATTGGATGAAATGAAAATCTCTGATTTCTCGTAGTTCAAGTTTTTAATTATTTTTTTTAAGTAAATAAATACTGTCACCTTAGTGCAGTAACGGGTTAACTTCTAATAAATTATGTAAGGAGTTAACCTGTTACTGCTTTAAGGTGAAGATATACCCCATCTGCCTATGAGTGAATTTTTCTTTTCCTTGTTTGCAAGCATTTCACTCTAAATAAAGCCAAACTTATTTATCACCCCAAATTTTGATGAAATGCTCACAGTGATGGTTTGTTGCTTTCTTGTTTTGAATTCATTTGAACGTAAAAAAGATGACAACACCACATCGCATTTTTTCACAACATAAACTGAACAAAACACATGACATTAACCAATGACACTCAACACTATTGTGAATAATCTGATGCAGAAAATATTAAGAATGAATTGAAATAAAAAGATTATTATATCTATATATGATCGCAAATGGAACAACATTAATACTGTTTGTTTTTAAAATATCAAATATTAATTTCATTTTTATCAATTTGTTCGAATGACAAAAAGTAATGTGATGGAAATCACCCCATTATTACTTTTTGTTCGCAAATTTTGTAAATATCTGATTTCTTTTTATATTTTTGTTTATTTTTCAAATGGGAAATAATTTATTTAGCTAGGCACAGTGATATATCTTAAACAGCTTGCCACAGGGATACTTCTATGCATCATTAATGATTTATAATTATTTTCAAATCAGATAGAAATTAATTTTTGAAAAATGCTTCTCTCGGGATAAACATGCTTACAGAGTAAGTTCTAATCAAATATGTTGCTATGGCAACCATTCGTATAAATCTGCAATAAATGAAATTAAAATGTAATCTCGAAATCTTGGTTTAAATTTCTTTGATATATTGTCAGAAATATATAATTTTATTGACTTCCCCCTGGAATAAGCATTATAAGACTACGGAACAATTTCAAATCTATTCTCATTATATATATGTAGACATACAATGTATATATATCTTCTCTTATAACATTCCCAATTCAAATCTTATTATTAATGTACATTTGTATTTATTCAAATTCAAAATTGCTGGCTTAAAACATAAGTAAATTAAGAGCGAATTCTCTGGAAGATTGTTTCTCACGTAAATGTATCAGATGTGAAATAAACATGCTTTGAATGTTTTCTCATTTATTTTTCAGTCTGATATTAGTAAGTCAGGAAATGTTAAATTTTAGCCTGCTTGTGGCAATATCGCATGCAATTATCTCGAATTGTTTGAAAATATGCAGATATCTACTTCATATTGCCAAAAAAGCACCTCTTTGATGTTCTTCTAATTAAGTAATGTACACACCTTACATTTAAAGTATAATGCCTTCCCCCTCTCCCCAATGTAATCAATTTACTTTACAGTTTGCCAAATAAAGTTAATAATACACCTACTTTTGCATTTTACCACAAATAAGTAATGGAACTTACACAATATTTTGCCATAAAAGTAACAAACCTATCTGGAAATTTGCCAAATAAGTAATGCATTTCATGGCTATTTTGCCCCCAAAATAATTTACCTACTTTGTAATTTTGCCAAACACAGGAAATAATATGCAATGCACCTTATCATTATTTTGTCAAAGAAGTAATTTTTACATGGGACATTTGTTAAAAGAACTTGTTAAAAGTACATACTTATAATTCCAAATATGGAAGCTTGACAAGTATATTCACACACTGAGCAGGTAAAAATATCTCAGCAAGAGGAATTATACTGCCAAATCTGGTTAGTTTGATAAAAAACAATTACAATTCTGAATTACTGAAATGCGGTGTTTTACGTTATTTCTTTGAAAATGTAATTATCCTGAAGTAAACATATCAGCTAGTTGTGTTTACATTTAGTATTTTCTTCAGTTTTGAGAGTGAAACAAATACTGCTAAAGATTTGATTAAAATAAAAAAAAGGGAAAAAATTTGCACAAATAAAAAGGAGAATAAAATGGAAAGGGACTAAAAGAATGTGTTAATAGTAACAGAGTTTGCTGCCATGCAAAAAAAAAAGCACAAAAGAAAAAATACCAAATAAAAAGCATTAAAGATGGAGTAATAAAAAAAATTGGCAATGAAGAATCTACAAAAGAATATGTGTCGAAACATCTAAAGGAATAAAATCATGCAATCAAATACCTGCCCATGAGAAAAATAGTATGTAAAAATAGTATATAAAAAAATAATATCAAGAAAATTGTATAAAAATATAAATATAAAAAAATATATTAATAAAGGTGGACTCACCACACTATGGGTGTGTTATCATGGGGCAGGTCTAATCAATGTGAGCGGGCTAGTTACCCCTAAAGAACAAAATTGTACGATCATTTTTCATGAATATTCAAACCTTTTTCTTTTGATAATTTGACAAAAATAATAAGACAACAAAAAAATATAAAAAATATGAAACATTTCTTGTGTCAATGCATTACTCTCTATTAATAAATTCAAACAACAATCATTTATCACACTTAACAAATTTCCAACAATAGTAAGTAAAATATCTATGGATTATTACCAATTTCAAAAGTACATTAAAGGTGAAAAAAAAAAGGAATCTTATTTTCGAAAGTCTATGCATCTCAATTATTTTGTATATTTCATGAGAATTATGGCCTGTTTTTTACTGGTGATGAATATGCTTATGTCTTCGTGGCAAATGCGATAAAATTTTAAAATAATCTCTATCTGAATGCAATTTTGTGCTACTCTCATTAAATCAAATAAGCAACAGTCAATATCAATCATAAATTTATATGCATTAAGCTTCTGCATTTCCAGTCTATTATATACAAATTTCTGTGGCTTTATTCATCAAATTGTTACAATCCCTTGACACAACAGCAATATAAGAACAAAGTGAAAAGAAAGAAAAAAAATTTTTTTTTAAAATGTAAACGTTCATCTTGATTTGAAAACAGAAAATGTAATAAAATATTGCAAAGTCATTTTGCTTTAACCTAGAATGTATAAACTTTCCCCGCAGAGGATTTATTTTGCAAACAGAACTTTTCCTTTGAGATTCGTTACATACGGTTTTCCTTTGTTTGATTTCTCCCAGAGATCAGTACATGACAAAACAAACAAGAAACATATACTGCGATGTGGTGTTTTTCTTTCGTTTTTTTTTTCTTTAACGAATTTGGAAAATGTCAAAATTAACTGGTAGAGATTCAATCAGTGTATTGTCACCTTAGTGCAGTAACGGGTTAACTCCTATTAAATTATATACAGAGTTAAGCCATTACTGCACGGAAGTGTCAAAAATGTACAGATGAAATAAGATAACACTTTGTTATTCCAACATTCCACTTCCTCATTCTTCAGTCTTAATGGAAAACATGTAATACTATTATTCCACATTTTAAAACCATTTTCAGAGCATTGTCTTCAAAAACATTTGAAGGGACAATAACAGGAAAGTTGAAATTACACGAGTGTAAATTCCTTGAAAGAAATTGAGGCTTCATAGCCAAAGTGATGTAGCTAGTTCTCCAAGTCCCAAGAGATACCACGTTTAAGCTAACTTCTCTAAAAATATCAGTTTCAAATTTATTAACATGTACAAGGATATAGCTGTTAATTGATAAATCAAGATAGTGAAAGAAACAGTTTCAAGTGAGAGTTAAAAAGCAAGAAAAACTATAAAATAAAAAAAAATAAACAAACAAACTACCTGCTGTACAAATATTCTAATCTTGAAAAACATTATAACAACGTCTACATCTAAGCTACTGAAGAAAAATAAGCTGAAAACTTCTTATTAAGTGATACATTATATAAGGTACAGCCAGTTTTAAAGAACTTGATAAAAGACTGAATGGTCAGACGAATCTTGGAGTAAGAATTTTCTAAAGATTTGCCAGACTCTGTACTCACTAGTTATATCAAGTCCTCTACATATTTCTGTCAGTTTAATTCTGAACACAAGTAAATGACATTTTCACCACGTGAATGAGCAGACTCAGACATAAAGTTCTTTTTTTTTCCCAAACAAACTGATGAGAAAAACCAAAACTTTGAAACCAATACAGCACTGGAGTTACATATTAACCCCAAGAATCTTCAAATATAACCAAATAATTTCAATTCTGCATTTTTTTTTCCAAAGTAACCTAAAAACAGTATTAACTCTACATAAAATTTTAACAACAACCAACTCCAGATTATTTTCATTTTTCCACTAAACAATGTTACACAAACACACAGAGATGAGATACAAATACCCTATCCTCAAAATGCTACCTACAGAACCCCTATACTAGCTGACTTCCAACATATATCATATTATACCAGTCCTTGTTGTTTAACAAACTTACATCATCTTTGCTACTGATTACTTAAAAGCAGCATCCCTCCAGCTTCTTTCAAATCTTTAATAAACTTGATATAAGAATTTTAAATGCTAAAACGATTGTGAAATGATCACTTTATGGGCTCTTAGCTAGTTAAGGACGCTAAAATGAGTCAAAACAGCCCTTAACTCCTCAGAAATGAGATTGAAATATTTGGATAAAAATACTAAATTGAGTCATATATGACTTGCTAAAAACATCTATGGATTGGGAACAGATTTTTGACAATTTGTTACCACTCTGGAGGCATGTTACATGTACTTTTAAATTTCAAGAATTTATCTCGTATTTTCTACATCACATCAGATCAATTTACCACTTTAATCATATTTCTGGTATATTTTCTCCTTTCATGTTTAATGTAAGTTTTATACATGATTAATTCAAGTTTATAACTTCAACAGCTGGTCCACATTCAAGCAGTCATTTATTTTTACATTAGAAACTTCATTTTCTATGTATAAAACAGCAACACCTGTGATGACGATGTTTTTCTTTTCTCCATGACAATATTATATATGTATTTGTTTAACTGACAATGTATCATTAGACAAGTGACTTATTGCTACCACATCTGTTTTTGTATAAAATAATAAGTTTTAACTTGAAGGAACAGGAATCACCAGTATAATTTGCCATGAACATAATTATTGACATGGTAATTCGGACACAACTGGTATCAAACTTTGCCTGTATTTTGTTATAGTTGTCGGTATTATATACCAATAGCATACCAAATATGATTGTAAATAATTATATCAGAACTTACAGCTCAGAAACCTTCATACCATGTAAGATTTGCCTACAAAGAGTGCATGATACTATTCATAGGTGTTGTACCTATATAATGTTGTTATTTAATTTGGAGTATGAATTCTGAAGACTTACCATAATTACTTCTCGTTTTACACTATATTACAATATTCTTAAATCTGCACTATCTATGAAACAGATACTTTAACTATACACAACTACCTTACACTGACCTATCTTGATTTACAAGTTACCTTACAGCTGACCATCTCTTACGTCTCAAAGAAACATGCCAAAAGTTCATTCCAATAGTAAATGAATTCTCCATGCAAATATATCGTGAATTACACCCAGAAAATTTAAGAATAAACTACCAAATTAAGGGGAAAATACAAGAACACCACAAATCTTTAACATTGTTAGTTAATACAAAAAAATAAATAAAATAAAGTGGTGTATTCATTCATGAATATGCAATGTATACATTTGTTGTTTTTTCCCCCAGTAATTTGAAACAAGAACTGCTTCTACAAAAATTGACATGTATCCCCAAAGTTCATATCTGTTACCATAGAAAGTGCCAAAATTCTCAAGGGGAGAAAATGGGATTGGAGGATGAAACTAAGTATGTGTTTCTGGTGTTGGTGAACTGTAAAAGTTCCAGTTCAAATTATAACAGGGGATAAAGCAAGCTAGTGTTCAGCAATTATTTAAGCTTCTATTTAGGTTAAAGGCATTATCAAAACATTTTGAATTATGCTGACAAACAAAAGGGATAATTACATTTTCAGAAATATCTATAGGGCTCAATATGCTATTTAAATTTGCTGATTGATGAATGAATACAACATTTTAAAACTCAGTTTCAATGTAAGTTTAAATCTTCACCCTATTTTAGAAAACTGAATCAAGTTTTTGTTAATTTCTCAGTTTAAAATTTTGTTTTCTAAAATTTACTGAAATGTTAAATAGGTAGAAACTGAGCTTAAAACTTATATTTTAATATGAAAAAATCTAAACTTTATGAAAACTGTTAAAAGGGTGTTAAAAAAACTACAATGTAGATAAAATGAACGGAATGAAAGAATAAAAAAAGTTAATGCTGCCAGTACTGGAAGCAGCAGAGAGTGGTAGATGATCTACGTACCCATCTGATAGCCACCTTGACCGTACGCTGGAGCTGGCTGGCCTGGCTGCATCTGCATACCCCACTGACCCTGCATTGGCATACTTCTGTAACACAAAGTATAAACCCTTACTTAGCATAGGCTGACTAAAGAATGGGTAAGAATGCTAGTTTTTTCTATTTGAGGTTAACTCCTATTAAAACTTGGCATGTGGCAAATTGCCGACCTTTTCAGGAAGGAAGGCGTCAGGTGCATTATTCTGGTATAAAGCGTCACACAAATAGAACCACCGACCTTCCATAATTAAGTTAGAAAGATATCTTCTTCACATTAATAGAAAAACAAACAATGTCCATGGAGGGAGTTACCAAATATGTTCACCATATTTTCATTGCTGTTTTATTCTTATATACATGAACAAATATTTTCACCAGTCCAATAACAAACAATTAACAACTTCTTAATAGCTTTGCATTACAGATTATGTCAAATGGATCTGTTACAGATACAACATGTCTATGACTATAAACTCAACCCCTTTACACTAGTAAAATTTTGTACATCCTACTTGTTAAGTTACTGAAACTTTCTAAACTTATTATGTATATTTTTTGTACACTCTGGTCCGCGGGGCGTTTAATTTAGATACAAACCCGTACTGGTATCCATAGCCATATCCACCACCTCCTCCTCCTTGCATGTTATAACCCTGTTGTCCACCATAGCCGGGATAATAACCCCCATAGCCACCCATATTGTAGCTGCCATATCCCATATTGCCCATCCCATTGCCATTAAACTGTTGTTGGGGCTGTAATAGAAGAAAAGAATATAATTAGATAGATATTCCACTGTATATTAGCTGTTGTATCCAATATTGCCCATCAAATTGCCATTAAACTGTTGTTGAGGCTGTAATTGAAGACATGTATATTATAAGAGATATATTAGATATTTTTCTTGTTATTAACATGTACATGTTTCAATAGGAATATAAACCAACTATTTGTACCAATAATTATAATACAGTTTTCAATAGCAACGAAATTATTTATACTTGAATCAGTCAAAAAAATATGGAAAGTTATGAAATACATATATATTATTGACAAATTAAATAAAAAAAAATCTTTTAAGTATGTTTTAAGTTAGAGACACCATACCTCAACTAGTACGCTTTTTCGTGCACAAGTTGGCACAGGAGTATAACTATGACATTTCGTAAGCTAGTTGGATAGCTCCTTCACATAAAAGTGCTATCAAGATTTCACTATCACATTTCAATAATGAATTGGACTGTTTATGAAATCTTGGCCTAAATCATGGAGCATAAGTGATCAATTGCTTCTCCAATTAGGTAAGTAAAAACAACACTCTTGTTTGAGTTTAATTATTTTAATTCCAACTCTGCCCTTAAATGACTTTTTTTTTTGCGTAATGATACATCAGTGGTCATGTGACACATGTATTGTGCAAATATATTGAAATACTGTATCTCTGACTAGACAATAAGAAAGTGAAATGTATGCTTAACAACACAATAACGGCTTTGAGTAGGTAGGCCATTATACACAAGATCTTTTCAATTATCTAAGGATGAGAGATACAGCCATTCATTGTATTGAAAGAATCAATCTCATCTTTTCCATTGATTTGAATACAACCCTGTAATAACATTCAACCAATATCCTTATTAAATTCATAAGAAACTGTTCCTGTAATGTCGGCTTTAAGTTTATTGACACTAACAAAACATATCTGGCTATGTACTGTGACATGGGTGTAATATTCATTAAGAAGAATCTTGGTAACAAGAAAACAATTACGACATGGGTTAATTAACGACCAAAACTTATTCAACTTTGGTGTAATTCCGGTTCAAATGCACTCAGGCCAGTGTGAAAACATAAGTGTATTGTACAGCTTACCTAAGACCAATACATTTAAGATAACTGTGATGGAGTTAATCAAAGCTTTATTAGTGCACATTCACACAATAACTTCAGTATGTTGACCTCTAAGTCACAGCAATACTGATTAATAACTATAAAAAGCTGTACTCCAGATTTACTGGTGGAGGAAATTCTAGGTGCTAGGTTTTACAGGAGTATTTCAGGCACCAGTAAGCATCTTGGTATAACCACCAATCTTACATAGACAAGCAGGATAGTTTCTTAACATATGGAATTCAAGGGAATTTGAATAAACACGGATTCAAATGTCAGTAACTGTGATCATCTGACAAAAGGCTCTCCATTAAATATGATATGGTTTAGTTATAACTATAGTTCTACAAGTATGAATGTATTAATCTATAGAATTTCTGAAACAGGAAAGCAATAGCCTTTGCCACCCATTTAGAACAAGGCCAGAATGCACTAATGTGCAATCTGATCAGATTTTACACTGGTGACTGGTCTGAACTTCAAATTTTCCTCTTGATACCCCTAATTCTTTTTTGTTCTCAAACTTGGAAACCTTGACAAGTCTGTTTTATGAAATTGAGCAGAAAAATGGTTTTTAGTTTAAAGAAGATATTATAAGTCAAGTATACAGGATATACATACTGATTGGCTGCCCATCATCTGTGGTGTAGAGGATTGAGACTGTTGGGCATCATTTGATTCTTTACCCCATGAACACTTGACTTGTTGCTCGTTCACCACCTGACCATGAACACCACATATAGCTTGGCCTGCACTTTCTTTGTTGGAAAATCTGTAAGAAAATTGTTGGAAAATTTATATCCAAATTGTTGGAAAATCTGACATAAATTGTTGGAAAATCTATGAAGAAATCGTCTGAAAATCTGACAAATTGTTGGAAAATCTATAATGAATTTGTTGGAAAGTCTTTTACCACAACTGTTGAAAATCTAAATCAAAATTGTTGTAAAATCTATATAAAGAGTTGTTAGGAAATCTGTAACAAAATTGTTGGAAAATTTATGACAAGTGTAGGAAAATCTTTAATCAATTGTTGGAAAATCTAGCTATAACAAAAGTGTTGGGAGAATATATAACAAACTGTTGGAAAATCTATGACAAAACAGTACAAAAGTTAACATCATACAACACTAACAGCTTTTTGCCTGTTTTTACATTGTTTGACAGACATAGAAAACAACAGTAGAGAATTTACATCATTATACTAAATAAATACTTGGCTTTGTATTTTTGCTGATGGAAATTCTATAATGCAACATTACAATCAATACAACATAAAGATTCTGTTTGATCTATGGAAAACAAAGTTTTCAGTCCATGCCCAAAGGCACTGTCTCGGAACATGTAATATGTATGAATAACATCAAATAGTGAATTTCAGGTCTCTGTGAATTTTTTAAAACTTTTGCCGAGTCTCATATCATTAACACTGAAAAAGTTTAGGTATAATTTCTAATAATTCAATGGATTGAATAGAGCATAAACTCAAGGCATTAATCATAGTCCAAAGGCATGTGAAATTCTCCCTCAAGTTATAAATGCAATAACAATGCCGGTCATTAACAGGTCAGACTAGTATTCCAAGGATCGCTAGCTGCGTGGGTTCAAACCACATCAGGGCAAACTAATGTTTTCTTGAGCATAAAACTTTACACTCATTGCTCAGTACTGGTTGATTCCAGAAACAGATTCCAGAGTGTGTTAATAAAATTATAGCTTTCTTCGCAACCAGATTTAAATGAATTCTATATAAACTAATAACAGTTCTGCTACCAGTACAAAGCCAAATCAGCTAGAAAATCCGAGTAGCATTAACTGAATATGAATTGTTCACTCTTCAATTCAAGTATTTTGAAACCCAAATATTAATATTAATAATGGACAGTGAGGCAGGTCACAAATCAAAGCACTGCAAGTCTGCGGAACTTATCTAACTGGATGTGACAGTTATAAACAAGACGTTGATGACTAATCAACAATTGTTGATGACTAATCAACAGTTATATAATAAGCTGATGATTTTTTAAGAGAAAATGGAATCATTTGTTAGCTTTAATCCTGACGAAAGCACATCAAAACTAAGATAACATTTCCCATGAATAGACCACTAGACAGATGTAAAGATTAACTACCTGCATACAAAATGAACAAAAAGATATGCGGGGAAAATCAGTCTGAAAATAAATTTTGTTGATATGCCTATCATTTATCTATCTATCGGTATGAAGACAATAAATATTCCGACGAAGCGTCTGTTCGTGTTGATATAGATACAAAAGTACAAGCAGACGCAGCTGGCATGTCTAAAACGGAACATATAAGGCCCATGTAACAAATGTAACATGTATGTTACAGAATAATCACCATCGCCATGTAACACGTCCTCTCCTCCCTCGGGGGGAAAAGCGACAATCTGTTAAACTGATTTCACAATTACAGAGTTTTCCCCGATACGACATGTACAGAATGTAATATTCATGATGAACATAGACAGAAGTCAGAGTAAATAACTCCATTCTTATACAAGCACCTGCTCCGTGCGAATTAAACATTAATTCTGACCTAGATTATGAGAAATTTATGACACACACCATTTTTATCGAGTATCAGGTGTATTTTGAGACCACCTCAAAAAAATTCTTATTAAAGTCACAGTGCCACATACTAAAATATAAGTAAAAAGTACAAAATCTCTTCTAAGATGACAATACACACTTGTTTTAAAAACAGAAAAATATTTTCTATTAAAGTTTATTTCCCATACAAAGAATGTAAAAACAAGAACAACTGAAGTACACTCCTATTTCAAGCAGAGGGAAAAAAAACAATAGTTTATAAATATATATATGACGTGATCTTTCATAACTCTTTATGTAAGATTGAAACAAAATACAAGCTAAATAAATCAGAAATTTAAATTAAAATAAGAGAGGATAATGTCATCTAAATTCTGTTTCCAATCAATAACACCACATGTTTTCCTTATTACTCTAAAGTTTTATCAAAACAGATTATAATTATATTGTATGATATATATGTGCATTCAAAATCATCTAAATCAGACCGAGTTATATCAGCAAAATGACCCTTTCTTTCGGTTGGGTTTTACATCCCACCAACACAGTATTGATCATGTAGCAACTTTCCAGCTTTACTGGAAGAAGACCTTAGGTGCCCTTCCATGTGTTATTTCAGGCACGATAACAAAGTAGAATCACCAATGTTCCGTAAGCAAGCTGAATAGCTTCCTCACATGAAAGAATCCAAAGTTTCTGTCCGTATTCGAACTCAGAGGTGAGGGCAAGTAAATAATTCTTTTACTATTATCTAATACAGGCAAATTTAGATATACTTTGTGCAATAACAACTAGACTGGATGTCTCTCAAAACACCAACTTACCTAATAAAAGCATATCCCTTGTCTTTGAATACTCTAATTTCTTGTATAGTACCATACGATGCAAATGTTTTCCTAATGAGATCCTCTGAAAAAATACCAAAATATTTCCATGTTTGTAAACTGTTACCAAGATACTGATAAATATTGCTATTTTTTCACAGGAATTGCACAAATATTGATACAGGTTTAAAGGAAATGCTAAATAAAAGGAGAACTAAAACATGATCAAGAAAGGAATAGAGGCCTTAAAAAAGAGTAGTGTTATATTCTAAAACATAGAAAAGAAAAGGGACATCAGTGTTATATAAACAAGTACAAAGAGTAGTGTTATATTCTAAAACATAGAAAAGAAAAGGGACATCAGTGTTATATAAACAAGTACGTATATACGCCAATTAAAATCCACATGTCCTTTATATCAGATATGCCAATGATCTTAACTATGGGAAACTTTTTTTACCCAACATAAAAATACATGTATAATATTATGGAAACAGATTTCGGCATTTCACTTGGAATAACAAAAGCAAAGCAATAAGGTCGAAAAAACGTCAAATTTGACGAATAAAGATATTTTTAGGATCAAAGCATAACAATGGTGAACTCGGAGAACCTATATTCTACTAAAAGTTTACAAACAAGCGAGCAGTGGGAAGTTCTTATTCCATAATCAATCAAGTTGTAACAAAGCACTGTCATTGAACAATCAATCATTGAATATAATCACTCTCACTTTTGCATGTTACACAATCAACTTCTAGTGCAGAAACATTGTTAGAATATAGCAAATGAGGCTGCACTATTTAGCAAATACGGTCAAATCTCAACAACAAATGACCCCTCCTGCAAGGGAAGTATTTTTTAACCTTGTAACCTAGGGCAAAGTCAAACAAAGGTCATTATTTCTAAGTATTGACCCTTTATCTACATTTAATAAGCAACGTTTTATTACATCAGAAAAACAAGGTAAGCCTCCCTTCAAAAACCTGTTCATACATAATAATTTTTTGGGTGACTTTATTTAATTTTGCAAAGATCTTGAAAGTCAAGGTCATTCAAAGGTCAAGGTCAAATTTGAAGATGTTCTATGAATAATTGAAATGCCTATCCTACATCTGTTAATGAACAGTTATGATGAAACATCCTAAATTTAAAAAGAACAATAACACAAAAACAACAACACTTTGACGGTCAAGGTCAATAAGGTGCCAAGGTCACATTTAATACATGTCAACTGCAGGTGTGACCACATATAAAGGTGTAGCTTTCTTGGGAATAAAGATGATATATACAGCCCAAAGTTAAGAAAGTTATAGTATTCAGCACTATTTTTTTCCTTTTTGAAATTCCTCCTGCTTGAAACCTTTTCATTTATACTTAAAAGCAAACACATGAAACCAAAAAAAACTTTGTTGAATGATATACCACTGAATTACATTAACCAGTCAATATCCATCTTTTCACTTCATTTCGCTTTTTGTTTTTACTCTCATTGAATTTAAAAGTTTAATTTTTTGCAGTTTTTCCGCTCATCAGTAAACGAAGTTATCTGCAGCTGACACTATGTTCGATACCAATATCTAATTATCATCTCTCTACGAAATAACCGTATGAACATAAAGTGACAATGCAAATTTTTTTTTATATTATAACTTGTCTTGAAGAAAAACAGTTGCCTTGTAAAGGAAAATAAAATGGCTGCAACTGTCAGATTGTCGGCTTTAATTTATCAACAATTACTGTATGGTGGGAGAAGATAAAATCAAATCCCATTATTTCAAAACGTATCAATGAAGATTTCTTTTACAGCAGATTGCTTGCTAATAAGTACTTATTACTAACTGTACTGGAAAAAATATAGTATTATTTCATTTTACCATATGTAACATGGAAAATTCATACATAGGGCAATAACTTGTATATCATAATGTCACTCAGGGCAATATAGGATATATCAGACTAGATCAAGCAGTCAGTAAAGGCAGAAAGTGTCCAAAAATAACGTCATACAGGGCCATATATCAATATCAAAAACATTAACACTACAGTAAGTTTAATTTCACACTGTCACTTTATGCAGTAAATTCTTTTTCGCGAAAGAATTTCGTTTCGGGACTTACCTGAGATACGGTTGCGCATGCGCAGTTCACTTTTCCGGTTGCGTTTCACGCAGTGAAACACGTTTCGTATAATATTAAAAGTTTTATCGGTCGTAGATCGATATAAGTTTTATCACTGTTTTTTATTTCGAAGTTTAATTCGAATTACTAACTATTTCTATATTGGTGTGTGGACGTATTCACATTTATTGTGTTTTTTATCGTTGTTGAGAGGCGAATTTTCTCGACTCGCACGTGGTGTGATCTTCGTAAATTATGGCGGATGCCAAAGAAAGCGAACAAAAAAGCTGCTGAAAGCAGCGGTTATGAAAAAAACAAAATAAAGGGAAAGCGCCGAAGAAAGCGTCAGAAAAGGTTCCCGAAAAAACTGCAAGTACAAGCTCGTCGAGTTTGGGCAAAACTTCTGAAGATAAAAATTTGTCTCTTCTGGAAATTATGAAAAAGTTCGTTTTGATCGCCAAATGCAGGAACAAAATACAAAAATTAACAGTTTAGCAAGTAAAGTTGACGATTATGAACAATATTATGAAGAGTATGATTATGATGATGATTATGAGTCTGTGGACAATTTCCATCAGGATGATGATCAACCTGAGCAGAGTAAGAGAAAAAATGATGATGAGAATAATAATAGTAGATTTTAAGAATATGGCAAAGCGTTTTAAGACCACAGAAACTTGTGATTCGAAAGTTGATTCTGTGTTAGCGTCAACTGTAAATGACTTATTTCTAAATGGACTTGATGAGGATCATTATAATAAATTGACAAAAGATGAACTCAATGCTAGGCCTGAAAACTGTGAGGCTTTATCGGTGGTAAAAATGAACCAGTTAATATGGGACGCGGTTTCCCCGAATGCTAGAACGTCTGATAGGAAACTTCAATACATTGAAGAGTCGGTAATTAAAAGTGGTACACTCTTAGTTAAAGTAGTCAATGAGTTGGACAAATTAGATTCGGAGAATGATGGGAAGCTTGGTCCGTTGATAGAGCAGTGTAATGATGTCCTGGCTTTGTTGGGTCATGCGAATAAGCAAATTAATATGACCAGGAAAGACTTTCTTAGACCTGAAATGAGTAAGGAATACACTCATCTTTGTAGTCAATCTAGACCTTTTACAAAATTCTTATTTGGGGACGATGTCTCCAAGTCGGCTAAGGAGATTGAGGACTGTTCCAAGATCAGTAATAAGATGTTTGATCGTAGACCTTTTCGAGGAGGTCCTGCCCGCCGAATGTTGAATAGAGGATTTCGTTTCCGAGGCGGTTATGGCCGAGGTATGAGACCGAGGGGCCGAGGTTTGTCGGATCCAAATGTTGGTACATCTACCGATTCAAAAAACTACCAGAGACGGGGGTCTCGGCTGCCATTCAAGCAGTAGAGCAGGTAAATGATTATTTTCAAGCAGGTAGACTTGCAAATTTTGTTAACGAATGGGAAAATTTAACAAGTGACCCTCAAATTCTTGATGATATTGTTAAAAATTGTCATATTGATCTTCAAGTTAATAACTCTGGACAAAAATATTTTTCTCCTTGTCAGTATAAATTTGATACTTTTGAATGTCAACATATTGATAATGAAATCAAAAAGCTTCTAAAATTGAAAGTAATAGTGCCTGTTGAGGCAGAGAAAGGTCAAATTTTATCACCAATATTTTTACGCCCTAAAAAGAACGGGGAATACAGATTGATTTTGAATTTGAAAAAAGTTAACACATTTATCCCTTATAAACATTTTAAAATGGACACTTTTGAAAAAGTTCTCACATTAATTTCACCAGGGGTAAAAATGGGATCAGTTGACATTCGTCATGCATACTATTCTATAAAGATTGCTGAAGAACAGCAAAAATGTTTTTGTTTCATTTGGCGTAAACAAATCTACCAGTATACCTGTTTAGCAAATGGCGTTAGTGAAGGCCCTCGTCTGTTTACGAAACTTTTGAAACCAGTATATGCACGATTACGTAGTTTGGGCTATGTAAATTCTGGATTTATTGATGATAGTTTTTTGTTGGGTGATAGTTATAATGAATGTGAAGAAAATATCAAAGCCACTGTTAACTTAATGTTACAGGTAGGATTCATTATAAATGAAGAAAAGTCTGTATTAATTCCAACAACAAAATTACTTTACTTAGGGAACATAATTGATTCTGAAGGCATGGTAGTTACTTTGCCTAAAGAAAGACAAGATAAAATTGTTTTGGAATGTCAAAACTTATGTAATAAATCTGTAGCTTCAATAAGGCAGGTTGCAAAGGTTATTGGTTTGATAGTTGCAAGTTTTTCTGCAGTAGACTATGGGAAACTGCATTATCGACAATTAGAGTTGGCAAAAACATTTTATTTAAAAGAAGAATTTTGGGAATTATAATGCTTTTATGCCAGTGACTGATAAAATGAGAACTGAACTAACTTGGTGGGTTAACAATTTGAGACAACAATCACGATCAATAAATAGGTCAACCCCTAATACCATTATTGAAACGGATGCCTCGTTTCTTGGATGGGGGGCTAAATATAAAGATATTAGAACAGGCGGCAGATGGCTTGTTGAAGAAAAGCTTCTTAACATAAATGTATTGGAATTGTTAGCAATATTTTATGCATTACGATCGTTTCGAGAACATGTTGTTTCCCAGCATGTAAAAATAATGTCGGATAATACTACAGCTGTAAGTTATATCAATAATATGGGTGGAACTGTATCCTTACAGTGTAATAAGATTGCTGTTGAAATTTGGACCTGGTGTATAGCTAATGACATATGGTTAACTGCTGCACATATTGCAGGCAAAGAAAATTTAGAGGCTGATCAGGCTTCTAGAAAATTTAAAGATAATCTGGAATGGAAACTGGATGAGAAAAATTTTTAATAAGATTTGTGATTTGTGGGGTACCCCAGATTTAGATTGTTTTGCATCTAGGTTAAATGCACAATTAAAGAATTATTGCTCTTGGAAACCTGATCCAGATTGTATTTATGTTGATGCGTTTTCCATAGATTGGAAAATTGTGAATAATGTATATGTTTATCCTCCTTTCAGTCTGTTAGGAAGATGCGTGCAGAAAATGAGAAGAGATATGGCCAAGGGCATCATCATAGCTCCACTTTGGACAACTCAACCTTGGTTTCCAAGGCTTATGGACATATTGGTAGACACGCCAGTTATTTATTTTCAAAAGAAGAAAGGTTTGCTGATATTAACGCTTCAACAAATGTCTCATCCTCTCGAAGGCAGACTCAGATTGATAGTTTGCAAAAGTGTCAGGGAATAGTTTCAGAAAACGTGGATTTTCAGAGGACTCTACCAGAAATATTCATGTTGTCATGGAAAATCAGGTACTAAAAAACAGTATAATAACACACATTACCAGGTGGTTTCGCTACTGTACTGAAAGGAAGATTACTCCAGTTTCGCCAACTTTGGAGGAAGTAGTTGAATTTTTAACAAATCAGTTTAACAAAGGTCTTGGTTATGAAAGTCTTAATACAGCTCGTGGTGCTCTATCTGCTCTTGGAATTCAATTTGAAGGATTTCGGATTGGAAATCATCCTTTAATAATAAGATTCATGAAAGGTGTATTTGCAGCCAGACCAACAACAAATCACGTTATACTGAAGTTTGGGATGTGAATAAAGTTTTAATTTATTTGAAAAAGCTTTCACCAGTAAGACATCTTTCACTGAAAAATCTCACATTGAAGCTGGTGATGCTCATGGCCCTAACTCAAGCTGCACGTGTACAGACATTACAATTAATTAGTTATACTGATTATAAGAAGTTAAAATCAGAGTTTGTGTTTAAATTTGATGGGCTGCTGAAGCACAACAGACCAAACCATAACATTAATTTTATTTCATTTAAGGCTTATCCTCCAGATAGGAGACTTTGTATATATACAGTGCTGAAGGAGTATTTGGCGCGTACAAGTAATGTTAGAATTGAAAATAATGCTAAATTGTTATTAAGTTATGTTAAACCATATAAAAATGTTACAAAAGACACGATTTCTAGATGGATTAAAACTGTTATGTATAGATCTGGAATAAACATTGTGAAATATGGTTCTCATAGTGTGAGAGCAGCAGCAGCATTCAAGGCAAAGAATTCTGGAGTGCCTGTTGCAGTAATATTAGAGAAAGCTGGCTGGTCGTCGGAAAGCACATTTGCTAAATTCTATGATAAGGCAATAAACACGGGGAGAGACCCATTTCAAGAAGGTGTTTTGAGGCACTAGGACTAGGTGTTTTTTCGCATTAGGCTTTAAAGTCTCAGGTAAGTCCCGAAACGAAATTCTTTCGCGAAAAAGAATTTAAAAATTAAACGAGACTTACCTTGGTTAAGTTGAAGTTTGATTTCAATTCTTTGAGTAAGAATTGAGTGAGGGGCTTAACTGCCACCCTCCCTCCCTACAGGAATTTAAATTTAGAAAATACATTCTTATAATTGTTACTAATGGGAAAAAACACTGTTAAGGAGTGAACTGCGCATGCGCAACCGTATCTCAGTTAAGCCCCTCACTCAATTCTTACTCAAAGAATTGAAATCAAACTTCAACTTAACCAAGGTAAGTCTCGTTTAATTTTTAAATTTCAGGTTACAGTATCCATGAATGCAGTAAGTTCATGATCACATTATCAAAAAGCAGCATTTTGTAACATTGTCAATTAGGAAAATAAGCATCATATTACACTATCAATTAAGGCAATAAATATCATAATACACTATCAATTAGAACAATAAATATCATAATACACTATCAATTAGAACATTAAATATCATTATATTCTATCAATTGGAACAATAAGCATATAAGCACAGTGACAATGATGGAATTAGGATATTTTCTAACAGCAACAAAGAGGGAAATTATTTACATCATGTTATAGATGTTGAGGGGGGGGGGGGGGAAGGTGGCACCCCTATAGCCCTAAAAAGGGGGGCACACTTGCTAGAACCTATTGGGAAATCAAACATAATATAACATAGTCACACTGGTTAATAGTTTCACTTCATATCTATGATGAAAGGCAAGGCAAAATGCCATGTTTGACAATTTGACAATTAGTATCTTATCCATGAAATGATTATATTGTCACACTGTCTCTAAACCCACTTTTGTGCATGCAGCACTATCATTAAAGGCACTATGCAAACAAATCCATGTGACAATGGGTGATAGATTTTCATATTTTTGTTAATGAGACACTGTCCCCAATGCTTTGCTGTATGCAATACTGTCACTTATAGCACTGTAGATCATGGCATTCTGATGAATATCATGATGATATACTGTCCCCATGGTAATGCTCTAAGTAACATTGTCCTAATGCCATATCTAATGCAACACTGCTACTTAATGCACTTGCAATTAAGTTCACAGAAGGAATTGGAATATAGGTAAATAATGTAGTATCATTACATACTGAGCCACTGTCCGTCAAGCTTATATAACTATTACTAAAGCAATCAACGGGCAAGTCTGGACGATAAAATCTGACCCAAATTTGAAAAAAAAAAACTGAAGCAAAACAGATACTGAGCAGGAAAGAAAAAGAAATATTTTAACATTTGAAAATGTTAAAATCAGAATTTGAAAAAGAAACAAATGAAGAAATACCACATGTCAACACCAGAGCAGTTAATGGTAATATATCATCCATCAGTTTCAAATTTAGTGCAAAAGTGACCTTGACCTTCGAATGGTTTTCAAACAGACAAAAATAATAAAACCAATGCCTTTACTGTGGAAGGAATTAAAAACCACGTCAAAAAGAGTATCAGAGTGATAAGCATTGAATCGTTACGTTATTTCTAGAATGATTTATCATGCTGCAATTTACTTGTCATAGACAAAGGCTGCGTAACTGTAACTATAGGCAGTATAACAAGTATGGAGATAATTGTAGAAAAATCAATCTCTTAACATGAGAGAGTTCTTAGGTTACCTATACTTTCAATATCATCATATAATGATGATAAATCATTCAACTTATTTCAACACTAAAGCTGAAAAGCTGCTTTTTCAACAATGCTTTTAGCAAAATGGAAAACTCTAGACCAGATTTACCTGTTTTGCGCAAAAAGTTAACAAGTGCATTTTGCAAGAAAAGAAAAGCTAGATTAAACTGTTTCTGGAAAATATTTCCAAAATTTTTATTTATTCTCTGTGAAAACAAACTGATTTATCCAAGTCTGTGTAACCTTCTACAAGTATATATTTTCACTCACAAGGGGGAGGGGGGGAGAGAGAGAGAGTAAGGATTGCAGAGGGGAGAGAGATTGGAGTTTGGCTTAGGCGTGTAAATGGGGAATAATTTGAATTTGGCAAGCTGATTCCAAAAAAGATAACTATCTGTAGAACTAAGATGAAACTTATAATAGTTATACTGAGAAGAAGCTGTTTTAAATTCTTCAACATTTCCATGAACCTTAAAAATCAAACCACAAACAATTGTACAGGATTTTCTTATTTTGTTTAAAAAATTCAACTCACATACCTGTTAAACCATTTATAATACCCCCACAATAAACTGTGCAGTTGGTCGGACTTGACTGACTCATAACTTCGTCTAAATTCAACTGTTTAACAACTGAAAATATAAAAAGTTGCATTGTTAAATAATTTATCATTATTTTTTGTTCATTTTTGTCTTGAATTCTATATGTTTAGCTATAAAAGCTGGAAAAAAGTTAATAAAAAATTGTCTATCAAACAAAAACATATAAACTAACACACATTATGTTTGTAGCAGAAATAAACAACAATAATAATTATTGTACACCAAATGACAGTGCACTACATGTATCTGCTGTATTATTTTTAAACTTACCCTCAAATGATGAATGGTTTTGTCTAGATTTTAAAGATGGTTAAGACCATTACAGATATTTATAATGGTAAAGGTTAAAGAATTATTTTACATCACTACATCACATGTAAATTACATCACATGTAAATTACATCACATGTAGATCTATTATTTTCAAAAGGAAGATAATTAAATGAATCCAACTGAAATTGCGAAGATGATAATGTTCTATGTTTTTTTTTCTATAAAGTTTCATTCAATATAAAAAAACGATCCAAAAACCAACAAAACTGATAACTGCCATTTTATGTTAGAGCGAACTTAAAGGTGTTGAAATGTCATGTAATTGTTGTACAAACAGTAACTTCTACACTTGGAAACCCAAGATAACAAGTGCTATTTAAGTCAATGGCCGTTCAGGAGAAATTTCTCCGAATGCATTGTGAAAAACGGGGAGATAATGACAGTTTCACATTGCCATGTTTACTGCTTCATTTATATGCAAAATTAATTACGAGGTTTCCAATAATTTCTCAGAAGTGCAAAAAACGTGTTGAATTAAAGAGTCGCAGATTGCATATTAAGCTTTCCGCATGCTAACATTTGTTACAGCAATACTAGCTCGACATTCCAGATTAAAACAAAACAATGGAATGATATAAAACACACTCTAATCTTGTGGCCAATTTTTCTCCCTGCTGTTTGGAATAGAAGATTTTAAAATACCCTCCTCTGTTTTTTTTTCCAAAATGAATGTACATTTTTATGTCTTTATAGGCGAGATATTTTACTATATGGCAGCACCAAGTCACCTTTATCTTTTCCAACTACCTCAAGGCAAATCTTGCTCCACTTGAAGGGTAAAATTTGGAACAAACATTTGTATGTGAATAATGAATATTGTTTTAGTTCTCAGGAAAATTAAGTAACATAAACACAAAACAAAAATTTTACTTCTTAAATGACTGCAGTGATAAATACAGGCCTATGTCACCGGTCAGTGGCACATCAATGTTGTCTGACCAGGTGCTTTACTGATTTTCTTCTTTTTTTTGTGTTCAGTATTAAAAACTAAATATTGACATCCTTAAAAGAAATAACACCCGATTCCATGCAGTTGGTTGTACAATTTAAACATTTTGATACTGACCCCTGCTCCCTAACAATAGACCCCTCCATATTCAATGCAGAACAAATCAATTTCATAAAAGCTAAAACATTCATCATAAAAGCATCAATATATAAACTAACTTCGACTTAGATAGTTCAGATTAAAAGCCCCAATAAAATAGTACAAAACCTTTTTAACATTTAACACTGATTGATCTGAAAGTAATATTTTTTTACCCTTTTAGAAAACATAAAATTAATATATACACACACAAAAAAAAAGCATCTATCAAGCATGAATGTTTAAACGGCAGAAAAAACCGATGTGATCACAATTACATAAACTGAAGTTTCCCAGACGATTCTATAATCAGCCATTTCATCGCAACAATCGTAAAAATTAGCATATATTTCTAAGAATGCCCGCATCAATACATTAGTTGACTAGGACTCTTAAGGGAGAAAAAAATGCAGACTCCTAAAAATGTATTATCGAACTCAAATGAAAAAATAATTGTCTGTTTAACAGTAAGTTTAACATATACACTGACATCATGTGATGGGTTTCTATAGAAACAGAAGAAGACCATGCATATTCTGACGGCAAATGGTTTCTGTAGCACTGGCCTAAGCTTTTACAACTGACATACTTGTACTGCTTTCTTCTTGGTAAAAAAAAATTGCGTAAAAAAATCTTACATTGATTTTCTTTAGTGGGCGGGGCTGGAGGTTTCCTTGTGGCCCAGTTTGTTCTGATTGGTCGACTCCCTAACCACTGTCCATTCATACTGGATATCGCTGTTTCTGCATCCTGAAATAACAAAAAATAATTTGAATTTTTTTATTTTGAGGTGCTGGAATTGGGGTCCGATGGGGTCAAATTTTAAGTCACATCAATGCTTGAGATGCAATATGGTGGCTGTGCCAGATAGTCCCTAAATGTGCAGCTTATGTACATTATTTCAGGCAGTGTCAAGCACCCGGGTAGGTCACATACCAAGAAAACTATAACAGTCTATTTAAACAACAACAACATTGATCTATAATTTAACAATGCTTTCCAACATACAAAATAACCGTGTCTTTAGCCTTGTTTAAAGAAGATTAATTTTATTTACCACTTTCATATAACCATAAATTTTATTAACCAATTTTACATCCATGAATTTTATCTACCATGTCTATAACCATAACGTTTATCATACAAAATATATAACCATCAGTTTAGGACAACGATATATGTAATCATAAACTGTTTATGAAGAGGAAAACAACAGACTGATAAATGATATGCTATCTTTGAGAAATCAATAATAATAAGTCCTATCTTTTTAACCATAAGCTTGCTGACTTTCTGAAATGGATTGCTCTGTTTTTTTAGTTTGGAACACTGTCCATTCAAACTTTCAGGGAGATTTCAATATCAATTGACACAAATTGAGCTACTAAGAGTATCAAGCCAGGCAAGACAGGTTGTGCACGCTGGCCCAGCTCTATACTGGCGGCATTTCTGGTTCAAGCAGGGTAAAGGGTTAAGGTATTCAATGCTACAGAGGCTCGGGGAAATTCGCTCCTTTCTTCATACCACCCAATAATATCATATATATAATCTGTAGAAAGTTTAGGGCATAAATTTAACAGAAAAGGATCATCAAACTTTTCCTCTAAAAATTTAATTTTCATTATTCTAGGTTGGTTTTAAGGAAAACTACAAGCTTATTTCAATCACTTAGTCTGCATTTGTTGAAATAGCATTGGTGTGAACACATCTTAAAAGTATATCCTTTGGAATAGTGTCTACTTTTCCAACAGTTCAAAGAACGCAGACTCGTCTTAGAGTTTCTTTTCATCTCATTTTATATTTCCAAAAAAATCCCTGGTATTTTCAATTTAACATAGACCTTTAATTTAGTCAATACATGTAAATTAGGTCCATGCCTATTGCTTCATGAGTAATTCTAACTTGCTTCTAGTAGTTAAGGCCTAAATAAGCTGTTTTTGACATTTCTTTTTAAATCTTACATCTTGACTGTATCCTTTCATGTTACTAATAGGCATTTTTATGACCCTTCCATCCCCCCCCCCCCACTAACTTTTCCCCAGACAAAGTAATATTATTTTTTTAATTCAAATCTAAATTGCAATTACAAAGTCCTTTATTAAAATATCTCTATATTCGTATAACTATGAACATATGAGTTCCAACAAACTTAATAATATTTAATACTAAAAGTAATCATGCTTTCAAAAGTTCCATTATGTGAAGTGAAATAATATAACAATTTTCATTTCCTTATTTTACCTCTTTCTGTGAATGAAAACCCAGTGATTAAGACTGAATATTACCGTGAAACATTCATTACTCTATGACCGTGCGTTGACTAAACAACGCTGCTCCATAAATCACTAATTTAATTAAATACCGGTATAAGGTTACTGGATCGTAACAAACTATATTAGATGACTTGTTTCTAGATAAATTCAAACACAAAAATCTTTCTTTACTGCTACAGATATTGTTTTGTTTGTGGAAGACATAGGAATTTATCCCAGAGCTTGTTAAAGTTTCATGAAGATGTACAAAAAAAACGCAAAAAAACACCAGGAGGATGAGCAATTTGATAGAATGTAATGGAACTCGCGTTAAATTGATTCCGACAATTTTCAATTTCAAACTTTTCTTGTAGGGATATTACGAAGACAAGAACGACTCACTAAGAGATGTAGAAGTGAGCTGAACATCTCTTTTAAATTGAAGAAAATGGAATGTAAAACTGTCAGATATTCAATTCACCTCCAAAAGTCTGCTGATCTAAATCACAATTCAATTATTTTTCTTGTCGTCATTATGTCATTGCCGAACTAAGAAGCCGGTAATCTTTGTAATTTACACTGTCTCCTGTGGCGTCAACCAATTTTCAAGGATGGTACGCTGGCGGAACACGTGTCATCATTTTCTATAAACCTGCCTGAACCAACAGGCTATACATCATCATTACGGATATTTGGAGAATTAAATACACATTGCATTTGACTTTCGGGGAAAATTAGCCTGTCCCAGAAATTCTGCTTGCGACAACTTGCAATATACATATTACTCCTTTGGCATCTACTTAACCTAACCTTACGGCTTGTGCAAGCTATTTTTCTTGCTAATCTGACACGAGACAGACAAAATATGTCAAATCTTGTAGAGAAAAAAACCAACATCGTAAAACATTGCGCTTATTTCTTTCAAATCATCTGTTTGTTTAAGAAAGCAAAAACTTAAATCAAATTAACTCAAATAAAGTAAGAATAAATTTCTTTTGAACCCCTCATCAATCTTATAAAACTGAAAATGTGATTAAAGGACTCATTCTTATCCTTAGAAAATAATTATCCTGTCAAATTTTTTAATTTTTTTTTTCCATTTCAGTGGAAATTTTGAACTATCAGCAAAAGTATGTGACACATTAAAATGAACATTGCTTTACAATAGTAACAGTTACCTAGAATTTATAATTTTAAAAAGATTTGATAAGTTCTTTTTTGTGATATTTTCACATATAGGATGTAATAGGACCTTCAGTACTTAATAAGATAGAAAAGAGAAGATATTCATTATACTAGCCATTGTCATGATGTACTGACCGGATAATCAACAATTTATTCTCCCTATTCCAGGAGACTTAGAAAATGTCATTCCCTTTTTATATACTTGATGAAAAAAACTCAAAGAATCTCAGTTTACTATTTCATCACATATATTGTTTCTTGCCTTATTGCCTCTGCATAATTATGCCTTGTCTGTGAAAACTATGACTTTAACTATGTCAGTGGTCATAACAGTACTTTTTTCATGTGAAACTCATCCGCATAAAGTGCTTGAACGTATTTTGTCATTCAGTCAACAGCATTTACTAGCTACAACAGAACCTGGGTGCCGCAGCTTTTCAATATCCATATTTTAGAAAGTAATTTGTCAAAATCTTCAAAACCGTCAGCAAAGGGACAAAAGACAGGCTATCATCAGTGTCCCGGAATAAATTGTGCCATATCCAAAGTTCAGACAAACTCTATATAACCTTAGTCTTGCTTAGTCTCAAAAGTTTTTAACAGCTATTCCAAGTTTAAATAGTCAGTTTCTAACCTACTTCTGGTAAATTACATGGCATGACATTCTTTCAACTTCAGCATTCAACAAGAGCACTGCATGCCCGCATAAGGCTTGTCGGTTTAGGGCAATAACAAGTGGTAACCAATTTTGACAAAAAAATTCAAGTTAAAAAGGGTCATATTCTAAAAACAAGAGGGCCATGATGGCCCTGAGGTCGCTCACCTGTATATAGCCCCCCCCCCCCCCATAAGAAGATGTTTCATGCTAAACATCTAAGCTCTAGCTCATTGGGCTTTTTAAAAGAAGATTTTATTAAGTTTTTACTATACACATATAGTTAAAAACAATGACACCCCTGGGGCGGGCCAGTTTTGACCCCAGGGCTTTTATTTGAACAAACTTTGTAGACACTCACTAGAAGATGTTTCATGCTTAATATCTAAACTCTAGCTATTTGAGTTTTTTCAAAGAAGATTTTTTAAGTTTTTGCTATACACATATAAGGAAAATCAATGACCCCCGGGGCGGGGCCAATTTTGACCCCAGGGCTTTTATTTGAACAAACTTGGTAGACACCTATTAGAACATGTTTGATGCTAAATATCTTAGCTCTAGCTCTTTGAGTTCTTTAAAAGAAATTTTTTTAAGTTTTTACTATATGCATATAGGGAAAATCAATGTCCCCCTGGTACCGTGCCAATTTTGACCCCAGGGCTTTTATTTGAACAAACTTGGTAGACACCCATAAGAAGATGTTTCATGCTAAACATCTAAGCTCTAGCTCATTGGGCTTTTCAAAAGAAGATTTTTTTAAGCTTTTACTATACACATATAGTTAAAAACAATGACACCCCTGGGGCGGGCCCAGTTTTTTCCCCAGGGCTTTTATTTGAACAACTTACTAGAACATGTTTCATGCTTAATATCTAAACTCTAGCTATTTGGGTCTTTTCAAAGAAGATTTTAAGTTTTTGCTAAACACATACAAGGAAAATCAATGACCCCCGGGGCGGGGCCAATTTTGACCCCAGGGCTTTTATTTGAACAAACTTTGTAGACACTCACTAGAAGATGTTTCATGCTTAATATCTAAACTCTAGCTATTTGGGTTTTTTCAAAGAAGATTTTTTAAGTTTTTGCTATACACATATAAGGAAAATCAATGACCCCCGGGGCGGGGCCAATTTTGACCCCAGGGTTTTTATTTGAACAAACTTGGTAGACACCTATTAGAACATGTTTGATGCTAAATATCTTAGCTCTAGCTCTTTGAGTTCTTTAAAAGAAGATTTTTTAAGTTTTTACTATATGCATATAGGGAAAATCAATGACCCCCTGGGGCGGGGCCAATTTTGACCCCAGGGCTTTTATTTGAACAAACTTGGTAGACACTCATTAGAACATGTTTCATGCTAAATATCTTAGCTCTAGCTCTTTGGGTTCTTTAAAAGAAGATTTTTTAAGATTTTACTATATGCATTTAGGGAAAATCAATGACCCCCTGGGGCGGGGCCAATTTTGACCCCAGGGCTTTTATTTGAACAAACTTGGTAGACACTCACTAGAAGATGTTTCATGCCAAATATCTAAGCTCTAGCTCTTAGGGTTTTTTAAAAGAAGATATTTAAAGTTTTTTCTTTCGGTTGCCATGGCAACCAGAGTTCTGCATGGTGACCACCAAAGGAACATTCCTGTGAAGTTTGGATGAAATTGGCCTAGTGGTTTATGAGGAGATGTCATTTAAAGTAAAAGTTTACGGACGACGGACGGACGAAAAGCGATCACAAAAGCTCACCCTGTCACTTTGTGACAGGTGAGCTAAAAAAACAACTTTCAGAATTATGCCCCTTGTCTAACAACTGCAAGTAGGGTGCAGCTAGTATACTAAAGATCATGTACCTAACTTAAAACTGTTTTGAGTCATTAAAGTTTTAGCATGACGGCGACAACAAAAATGACAACAACGACATCACAACGATCATAAAATAGCTCGACTTTTTCTTCGAAACAGACAAGCCTAATTTTAATATCACATAAAAGATTATACATACCTGTTTGTTAACAAATGAAACAAAGCCATAACCTTTGGACTTCAGAGACTGTGGATCTCGTATAATCTTGCAATCTCTGAAAATATTAAGTAAAAAAGTCAATAAGAAAATCTACATTTTCAGGATTTTTTTTTTTACCTTTTTCAGTAATTCTTATCGGATTTTATTTGGTCATCATGCTTTTCATGGTAGTCTTTGTTGAATTTGCCTTTCTTTTTAACTTCCAAATTTTTGTCATTTATTTTTTATTTTTAAGTTTATATGATGGTGTCCAACTTGAATTATTCTCAAATAAATAAACATTAAATTCAGATCTGTTCACAGAAAACCACACCTGGGTATCTGAAATTTTAACAAAAATATCTCATTTTTCCCAAAAACGAGCCTGTCCTTTTTTTGTTGAATGAGAAATTAACACAAGAGGCCATAAAGTATATAGATTTCTGAGAAAGAAATTTATCCAAATAAGAAGCACTATATAATGATGTAAAGATATTAATTTCCAATATATCATCCCTTAATTAAAGACATAATTTAAACCTACTAATGTCAACCAAGCAAAAAAAAAAACTTGTCTGATGTATGAATTTTCTGAATAAAATATCAAATATATCTTTAATCACACACATCATTTTGATCAGAAAACCTTCTCTAAACGATATAAGGGATACTGAGAGAACAAAGTTAATAACCCCTTATAAATGGAAGGTAAGGAGTAAGGCAGCCATATTGCCTAAGGTAAACCAGTTTAAGACTGCTTGATTTAACCTTTAACCTGCTGGAACTGAAAGTGATCAGCCATTGCCACCAGTATAGATCCAGGCCAGCCTGAACATCCATGCAGTCTGACCAGGCTCTATAATACTGACGGCTTACTATTTTTAAAATTTTTAACTTATCACCAAAACTGACAGATGACAGTAATGGACAAGTCCATTTAAGAAATTCAACAAAGTTATGGCTTCAAGAATGCAATGGAGCATCAAGAGGTCACTGCACTGATAGCTCTAGATTTAAGTGCTGCTTTTGATACTGTTGACCATAACATACTGTTAAATGTTCTTGAAAGTCAATATGGCGTCTTTGGATCTGCGCTGGAATGGATAGATTCATATTTGAGGCCGCGTAGCTGTCGAGTGAGTGTTAACTCGAATGTGTCATCAGAACGGGAACTTGACTGTAGTGTCCCCCAGGGAAGCTGTTTGGGCCCTTGGCTCTACTTGACGTACGCAGGAACTATCTTTGACATTGTACCTCCCTCCATTTCCATGCATGGATTTGCCGACGACCACGTTGCGAATAAACGTTTTAAACCATCACCTACCGCAGAAGCAAGCGCAATTCGGGACCTCCAGGACTGTGCAGTGCATATAAATGAGTGGATGAACAGCAACAAGTTAAAAATGAACAATTCAAAGACAGAGTTTATTCTTTTCGGAAGTCGTCCACAGCTGAATAAGTGTAACACCAAAGAAATCAATATATGTGGTAATGTTATTAAATCACAACATTGTATACGGTATCTTGGTGCTTTTTTGGATGAGTCTCTAAATTTCAAAGATCACATTAAAAGAAAGTGTAGAACTGCTATGTTAAACTATTTCAAGATCAAGAGCATTCGAAAGTATCTGACAAAGGAAGCCGCTGAAACACTTGTTTTATCTTTAGTAATATCCCATTTAGATTATTGCAACATCATTCTATACGGCATATCTCAAAATGAATTAGCCAAACTTCAACGTATTCAAAATATGTGTGCCAAAACTGGTGTTAGGTCGTTCCAAGTATGATAGTTCTAAACAGGCATTATTCGATCTGCACTGGCTTCCGATTAAAGCACGAATCAGTTTCAAGATACTGACATACATGTATAACTGTTCGGTAGGAAACGCACCATCATATTTAATAGAGCTTTTGTCTCATCAAGTGTCAAAACGAACCTTAAGATCATCTGAATCCTCAGTTGGTTGTTATGTTGTTCCTTTTAATAAGAAGAGGACTTTTTCTGACAGAGCTTTTAGCACGATAGGACCAAAATTGTGGAATGAACTACCTATTAATATGAGAAAATGTGAATCTGTTGAAATTTTCAAAAGACAACTGAAATCATTTTACTTCAAGGACTTTTTTTGCACTTTTTTAAGTGACGCTGAAGGCATTGTCTGTTCCTAATTGTTTTGTGCATGTTTGTATATTTCTAGTGTTTTTATTATTTTCAATGTATAATAATATAATAAAGTCTAGCCCATGTGTTATCATGTGCAGGGGTGTAGATTGTTACATGTTGGTGGGGATTGACCCAATCACTGTGACCGTCGCACTGCTGGGAGTATTGTGTATGGTAGCACTGGGAGTAGCACATATAAGGTATATAGCTGTACAACGCCATTGAATATGTATTCTATATGTAGAAATAGGCGTTAAATCAAGTTTTCAAGTTTCAAGTTTCAAGAATGTCAACATAACAAGTCTTATAGAATACAGAAAAAAAGTTAACATACACTTTGTTACATAACTAATAAGCTCTGTTTGTTTGTTAAAACACTAAATTCATCATGGCCAGATAAACTAGCACAATTTTCTTACTGTAAATGAATTATGCTTTCCAAAAGACATAAACACAATCATCCAATATCACATGTCAGCCTACCCAATACAGACAGGTGATAAAAATCATTTACACAAGAAAACAAATTCTGTTCGACCAAACTATGTGAAAACTATTCAAAACAAACCCACACAGGTTTGATTTTTTTTTTTAAACAACCTTTCATAGACAGCTGTTTGTATGTTTTTGTGAACATATTAAAGTTTAGACAAGAGACAAAGTTATGGACCTTTAGATGAACATTACTCCGTACCTTATGGCATATAAGTCTTATGTTACTACAGCATGCTAGGTGAAAACTAACTCTAGTAAATCGTCGCCTACACACGTCTCTGGAGTCAAAGCTTTTCAAATTAACTAACTGACCGTTGATCAACCGGCCAATTCCCTGGACACTCTCTCGCACTAATAATACATATTACAGCGTCCATGTGACATATTTAATCACCCTATTAGCTCCATTATATTTATTATTCCTGATATTTATTACAATGGATTTTCATTTTGCACGCATTTCCCGATAATCAGTATTGAAAGGGTGTCATAGACTGTATACATGCGATTTATTTCCATTTAGGTACATTTTGTATCTTTTAGGAAAATTGGGAAGAAAAAAAAAAACATCTGGAAGGTTGATGTTCACATCTGTTTTACTTTCATTATGTTTTTTACACTGTCCCCTGTTGGGCGACACATTTCAAGCTCGAATGCTACAACATCATTAGCCCTGCATTTCCCATGGCAGCAATCTGATCAGCTTTCAAGTATTTCTCTCTTAAACAAGCACCGATAAAAATCAAAAATGGAGGCCAAAGAATGATCAATCGTGAAATAAAAAACCAACAGTTTGCTTTTGCAACCTTATAAATCATACTCGTGGAAGCTGTGAAACCGTATATTTCCCATTTTCGAAAATCCCGAAGGGAATTTAAAAACCATTTTCACTTGACTTCATCAATAAAGGCATTGTCTCGGTGTTCAAGTTGCCATGGCGATGTAAAAGTCAACGTCAACTACTGTCATCCAATTGTGAAGGTGCCTGCTCTATGATCCCCTTGACAACCATTTCTCAGATTAAGTTGATATAAATTCGTAGACCTTCACAATTATAAAGTCAAGATTTGTTCTAATATACCCATCAAATAACTTCATTAATATTTTATACACTAATGCTATGAGACATTTAATGTTTCACGACATAAGCAGGAACTGGCTTTTACACAGCTAGACAGCTGTGGAGCTTTTATTTCGTAATAAATTCTTTTCCTGTGAATGCAAATTCAAAACAAAATGTCTTGTTTATTGTGCTGTTTCTATTATGTTTACTAACAATATTTCAACATAATTTATTGTTATTGCTATTAAGTTTTCTATGTATCTATTTATACTTTCCGAGAGAAATTGTTTCACCATAATTTATGTTCTAACATTGAGATAGAGATGATATTATATTCATGTACAAGTCAAGATTTCAACCTGACCAATCATAAAGCTGCTCTATCTGTAATTCATAGCCAGCTGGGGACAACTGAATATACATGTGTCCAGTGCAGACCATGATCAGATGGAACAGGTGCAGACCAAAATCAACCAACACTTCCGTGCCATCTGCTCATGGTTGGCACTATTCGCTATTCAGTCAGTACTTATAAATTTCGCTAAAAATAACGGTTTCGTCCAGATTGAAAGATGGACAAGTCCATTTCAGATTTTTAAATGGAAAGGGTTAAGACTTATTTACATCATAAATATGAAAGCAGTTTTCTTTTAAGTATGATAGGACCATGACACATACAAATTATGAATGTTTGTTCGTTCATTGAGTTTTGAGTCACTCAGCAAGGTTAAATAGCACATTTCAAGCTTGGTATAGGAAGAACTCATTAGTATATAGCTCTATTATTCCAGGCACAAGCAGGCACATGGTTCTTTACTTTCATAAGCTCACTGGATAAGCATCCTTACATGAAGAAACATAAGTCTATGACATAAATGAACTTACAGCTGGGACAAGTGATTTGAATTGAGCAACCCCATATAAAATTAGATTGAAAATTTTACCAGTGTCTTGCCAAAAATTGGAGGAAATGTTTGTATAATCAGGCTCTTTGCAGAGCCAACCTTACTTCAAAAGGGATATCTAGTGTTGAGCATTTAAAATACTTCTTTAGAACTTAAAATTTCAATGAAAAGAAAAAATGTTTCATGTTTCTAAACTCTTTGGACTTTATTTTCTGTACCAAAAAAGCATAATTTTTTATTTATTTTTTTGAAAGATTCAAATAAGACTGGGAACTGTGTTTTTTTCCCAATCTTAAATAAGACCAAATATCAGATATTATAAAATTGGCCAAAGAAAAGCTTTTCTGAAATGTGTACTGGACTCTTTTTGCACCAGCCATTTTCAAATTTAATAGGAGAAAAAAGAAACGCCAATGATATTCTGAAGCCGTAGAAAATCTTCCAAA